CTTAAAATAGTATCTTCAAAGAGGCACAACATTTCTGGAGGTAATCAGATATGCTCTCTGTCTAACAGATAGTACCATGCATCATTCAGAAATCCTCTGCATAATCCAAATAAATATAATTGACAATATTCTCAGCTGTAATAAGGAATCCAGGGCTATTTTTGGGCAGGAACGCACAGGAACGGAGTTCCGGCTGGCTCCTGAGTTGGCCACGCCCAGCAGGAGCTCATTAGCATAACAGGCCACACCCAACAGCAGAAACTCATTAGAATTGGCTACATTAGGGGTGTGTGGCCTAACATGCAAAGGAGTTACTGCTACCAAAAAGGCCCTGGGTTTTGACAACAAACAAGGTAAACAGAATAAGAACCAAAAGGTGGGTGTGGCTGAATGACCATGCTTCTGGTAACATGGGGTGTGGCCTAATATGCTAATGAGCTGTACTATCAGGGGTGTGGCCTAATATGCTAATGAGTTTCTGCTGTTGGGTATGACCTGTTATGCTAATAAGTTCCTGCTGTGCTTTTTCTACAAAAAGAGCCCTGGAATGACATTGATTAGATTAGGGTTAGAATTTCAAAAGCTCAGTTGATTGAAAACTAACAGTTCACCTGCAATTTTTGGTGCAGTGCCTTTGGACCACAAATCCTCATTTAGCCACGAAGCTTGCTAGGTTACATTGGGTCAGTCACTGTCTCTAGGTGTGAATCCCAACTTTGCTATAGAAACTTGCTGGGTGACTTTGGGCCAGTCACACAGTCTCAGCCTAATTTATCTCACTAGGTTATTGTTTGGATACAGCAGAGGATAGGAGAATAATATAAATCAATTTGGGTCTCCACTGGGGAGAAAGGTGGGGTATAAATGAAGTAAAGGAAGAAATCTCAGCCTGACCCACCTTTGTAAAGATGAAAGGGGGTGAGGAGGAAGGAAAGAAACATCTCTTTGAGCACTTAAGAGGGAGGATTAGCTATTAATGAAATAAAAGTGTAGAACTCACCTGTGTGGTATCTCATCAAATATAGGAATAAACTAACACACCACTGCAAATTTCAGCATCTTTCATGCAAAGCACAAGGATCATTTTTTGGATCTTGGTGTCTAAATGAAATTTAGCCATTTCCCCCACCACCACAGCCTGAAAAATAAAAGGCAAAAAATGTGCAACAGTGTATCACTAGACAACTGTACAGCTAACACTGGATAAGTGATGCTGGAGTTATTATCCCTCACTGAATACCCATGGGGAGCACTGGATGTGGATAATATTTGAGAAGTGCAGTGCTATGCAGAGCTACTCCACACCACTGATTTCAGTGGGCTTAACGTTGCATAATATTACACGATGAGCCACTCAAGAAGTCCTAGCTATTCGCCGGTGAAAAACACTGGCAATCAGAAGGTGTGTATGCAGTTGGCTTTATGAACAGAACCTCCCAAGAACAGATGGTGAAGGCGATAACGGGAAAGGTACAGTAGAGATATTCTTCTTTAGTGTCATCCAATGTAATTATTCTCAAGAGAAAAATAAGTGTCTGGTGTGCCTCAATAATAACAAATCCCCAAACCCAGAGAGGAAAAAAAGCAATAGCATTAGCTAAGATTGCATTACCAAACTGAGAGCAGGGTATAGGCCTGAGGGCAATGGGGAGAGAAAGAAGCAAAGAAACACCTTTAAGCAAATACACAAAACAGGACAAATCAAGCATTTGTGCACACTGAGACATTGGTCTTTTTTCTTCTTTTTTATTTTAGAATTTTTTATTATTTTATTACTACAAAAACTACAAAGGAAGAGGGAAGTGCATGGACACTAAGACTAAACAAGTGAAATACAAAAGTAAAGCAAGGATCATACTGCAAACAAATAACCAATATGTAGTGAAGGGTAGTGAAAGGTGGGGTATACATCCAATCTCTTCTTCTTCTTCTTCTTCTTCTAAACAAGTGAAATACAAAAGTAAAGCAAGGATCATACTGCAAACAAATAACCAATATGTAGTGAAGGGTAGTGAAAGGTGGGGTATACATCCAATCTCTTCTTCTTCTTCTTCTTCTTCTAAACAAGTGAAATACAAAAGTAAAGCAAGGATCATACTGCAAACAAATAACCAATATGTAGTGAAGGGTAGTGAAAGGTGGGGTATACATCCAATCTCTTCTTCTTCTTCTTCTTCTTCTAAACAAGTGAAATACAAAAGTAAAGCAAGGATCATACTGCAAACAAATAACCAATATGTAGTGAAGGGTAGTGAAAGGTGGGGTATACATCCAATCTCTTCTTCTTCTTCTTCTTCTTCTAAACAAGTGAAATACAAAAGTAAAGCAAGGATCATACTGCAAACAAATAACCAATATGTAGTGAAGGGTAGTGAAAGGTGGGGTATACATCCAATCTCTTCTTCTTCTTCTTCTTCTTCTAAACAAGTGAAATACAAAAGTAAAGCAAGGATCATACTGCAAACAAATAACCAATATGTAGTGAAGGGTAGTGAAAGGTGGGGTATACATCCAATCTCTTCTTCTTCTTCTTCTTCTTCTAAACAAGTGAAATACAAAAGTAAAGCAAGGATCATACTGCAAACAAATAACCAATATGTAGTGAAGGGTAGTGAAAGGTGGGGTATACATCCAATCTCTTCTTCTTCTTCTTCTTCTTCTAAACAAGTGAAATACAAAAGTAAAGCAAGGATCATACTGCAAACAAATAACCAATATGTAGTGAAGGGTAGTGAAAGGTGGGGTATACATCCAATCTCTTCTTCTTCTTCTTCTTCTTCTAAACAAGTGAAATACAAAAGTAAAGCAAGGATCATACTGCAACCAAATAACCAAATATGTCTTTCCTACAATTTAACGATAAAAATAAAGTGCAAGTACTGAATGCGTTATTTCAAATATTGATAAAGCTAAATCATGCCTGTTTAACCAAATTTGGTCTTATCTAAGAACGTCACATTGTAATTTTGTAGTACTTGGTTCCAACCTGCAGAAAGAACAGGCTGTTAATGAATATTTTGGTTAAGCTAACAAAATAAATTAGTATAAAAATACAAATATTTATTTGGGTATACACATTAGTAAAAAATAAAATAGATTAAAAGCACTAATCCAAATAACAGACTCATAAAACTCATAAATATTTGTATTTTTATAATAAAGTATTTTGTTAGCTTGACCCTCATATATCACAGCCATATCTTGGGTTGCGTTTCCCCCCCTTTTTCTCGTTTAATGAATATTTTGCCAGAATTGCCTTCCTTTCCTGAAAGCATCTCAAATCAGCAGTTGTCACAAAACAGCAAACAGAAGCTTTCAATTTCTCCAGGACTCATAATCAGATTGGATGTTATGTATTAGGATGAGAAGGGGAGAAAATGTTTTGGGGCACGTTGACCAATCCCAAAAATCTGCAGGTTGTAACTTTCTTAATATGGAGTCCAGGGATGCTGCATACTACTTAGGTTGTAAGGTGCTGGGGAAAATTCAGATTGCAAGGTTCCCAAAGATGCTCATGGGATAAAGAAATAAAAATACCTGAAAATTTAAATATCAGCAGTTCATCAGAACTTTCCCCAGCACTGTTCAAAGCACAGGTCACTGTAAGGCTTCGAAAAACACAGTAAGCATAGCAGTAATCTAGAGACAGGGTTTCAAAAGCAGGTGTGAGAAGCATCAGATATAAAATTCACATTGGCTGATTTCGCACTAGAGCTGCCTCGATGTTGCGCCGCCGTTTGCCCCGATACTATTGGTCAATTTCACACCCGAAGCCGCGGGGCTGCATTTGACCCGCGGCTTCACCTGATTTCCTCCGCAGTTTCGTGATCCTCAAAAAACAGGGTCCCGAAACTGCAGGGGAAATCGGGTGAAGCCGCGAGTCAAAATGCAGCCCCGCAGCTTCGGGTGTGAAACTGACCAATAGTATCGGGGCAAACGGCGGCGCAACATCGAGGCAGCTCTAGTGTGAAATCAGCCAGAGTCTGAGTCCAGTGGCACCTTTAAGACCAACAAAGTTTAATTCTAGGGATAAGCTTTTGTGTGCAGGCACGAGGGTTGTCAGCTCCCATCTTCTCTCCTGCGGGGGGGGGGGATTTGGGGGGGGGTCTGAGGGGGGGAGGGG